TCTTCATTTTACTCCAAACCGGTTAGGTTCCTAACATTGCTAGATCGACATTTCAAAACGCTCACATTTGGCACAAGTTTTGCAGTGATCGGAGACACACTGGAACCGTTGATGCAAGCTTTGCACATGATCTGGGTGTTATCCCGATATTACAATCAAGATGAAAATATGGTTGCCCTGTTGGAACCGATTGCCACAGTCATTGGAACGAAAGTGGCCGAAGTGGTGGATATTAGAACTGTGTTTGAGTAAGTCGAAATTTCCGATCATACACACATCTACGTATTTCTAGTCAGTCTCCCAGTGAAATAATCGAACGCATGGTTGAAGCGATGAATTTGTGTGATCGATGGAAGTCGGCCTATTTCACCAAACGGGCCGAGATTGAAGTCAAAGGACGCGACGCGCGATGGGAGTTTGACAAGAAGCGATTGTTTGCACGAACAGACTACATTCGTTCCATTTGTGCTGATGTTCAAGAGGTGGCCGGTGTACTGCAAGCGTTCAATAACATATTTGGACCGGAGTTAAAATCGGTCACTCGTGAACCGAAACGAATTGATGATGTGATGCAACGAGTACAAGAACTATTGCATCCGTTTAAACAAGTAAGATTTTATTTTATTTTGAAAAATTGATAAAAATGTCGTATTTACATGAGAATATGAAAGAAATTTACCCATTAATATAAGGAAAGCGGGGTAAATTTCTATTTGTGAAAATTCGGAGGAAAATTGAAGTTAAAATATAAGCATGAATGGCAATCATTCATCAAATTATTTTTAAAAGATTTTTTTCAACGCAATGCAATTCATTCAATAATTTCCGTCAGTTTAAAGAAACGAGATTGAACCACGGGCAATTTCTACGTACACCCTAATTCTAAATCCACCTGCCTCCTATTATTGCTATTGTTATTATTTTTGTGGCGTTGGCACCATGCTTGTCTACAGGCCGGTTTTAGATACATATATATTGTTTGAAAAGAAACTCATCGCCAGCGACAGGTAGCATCGATCATCGAACCCTTAACAACCTGGCAAGTAACATACCTGAGTCACCAAGTGAATTATTCCATCATATATTCGACAATACTGTACATTCACACAAATTGAAACCGAATGATTTCACCTACGTCCAAAATCAGCCGTCGTAGTGAGCCAGCTACCTCCCGCCCCGTCACTTTCCTCCCCATACTATTAAGAGTGATCGAATCCATTACTGTAGACAATTTGATAGATCACTTTTAAAAGTGCAACGTATTATGCACATTGCAACATGGGTTTTGGCGCAAGCTATCTTGTGTCACCAACTTTCTTTTGAACTGGGCAGAATGGACAAAGGAAATTAACCATGGTAAGACACTGGAACTGGTGTACCTCAAATTTCCCAAAGCATTCGATCATGTGAACTACAAATTACTGCTGAAGAAACTATGCAGTTATGGAATCCGAGGACTATAGTACTGGGTTGGATAGAATTTCTTCAACAGTGTACCATGGCAGTACGGGTTTCTGGGTTACTATCTGGTTCTATCAGCGTAACCCGAGGGGTTCCAAAAGGATGCGTACTTGGCCCTCAACTTTTTCCAGTTTTTATACAAGACCCAACGGACTTTCTGAGGGTAGAAACGTTTGTTTCCAGACGATGCAAAAATGTGGAATACAATGATAAAATTTGAGAGTTTATTGGTACAGCTTGATACAGCTTATCAATGGTCGATTGAAAATGACATCAAGTTCAGTACATCACAATGTTTGATCGCATTATTTTGCCACAAAGCTCACTTTTCGTACTTCCTCGGATATCAACAATTTTAAGATGTCTCAGTTGAGAAAGAACTTGATGTTCACATTCAAGACGACCTACTTCAGAATATCATCCGCAGTTGTAAGACATATCGACTTGCTAAAGTAAGTCGTTGAAAAATGTCAGCCTCTATTGTTCTCGCATTTGTTATCACCCTAAATTCGACCCCACATTGAATGCGCCATTCAAGTATGGAATTCATGACCGCAACGCAATCGTAAAATTTGAAAAGTTCACAAAGAATGGACACCAAGATAGTCAAAGGACTGCATTCCAAAACCTATGTGGAAACATCGTGGTTATAGGATTTTTACTCCAACCAGTATCATCGAACGGGAGGAGACTTAATCTTTGTGCCCTAGGTAATGCCGAACCCTGACCGAATAGTTCACTATTCACCTGATTGATTAACATTTACTTCACGGGGCATCCAATTAACAAACTGCTCAAAAATTTCGACTAGATTTTCGCCCTCATTCCTTTGCCCTCATAGCGTGTATGATTTGGAATTCTCTGCTAGCTCAAGCTGTTCGTGCACCTACAACCGATTCTCTCAAGCAGAGATTGGATGAATCATTCATTTTAATGTCCAAACCTTTAACGTCCATAACAGTATACCAAATAGTGAAACTGTGAAACTTCTCAGCTCTTTTTGGTCGGTTTGTTAATTCCATTGTGCCACAAACCCCACGGAATAGGAAAAGCAGTGATTTCTCATAATTACAATTTGACCTGGAAAACTTTGCTAACCAATACAAATTGTATTCCGTAAGGGAATTATGCCGATTATTTACCGTTTACTTTAACTCTAGTACGGAACGAACTGAATACCAACACTGAGCAGACAGACTAAAAAGTGGGCGGTGCAAGGAAGTTCGTGGCTGTCACTACATTAGTGTCAGTGGTTGTATAGTCTGTTGTAGGGCTTGGTTGCACGGACGAGAGATGACCTGATCAACCTGGTTCTGTGCCTAAACCAAAACACCGTGGTGTGACGCTTCCAGTCCGCAATTCCTTTAAAGGCCGGCCTATCCATCACTGGCATCATGCTTCCTTCGGACGGGGCTGCCATATGCAGTTCCTCCTATGCACTCCATCAGCCAATTAACCCAGTGATCGTACACTCAGTGCACTGAACAGGTCCCTCTCCTAGTGGAGGGAATAGATGGTTGTTCCCATCTCGGAAAAGGGCCCGCGTAGTGATTGCGCCAATAGTAGGAGTGTAAACCTGATACCCATAGCGTCAAAGCTGTTGACGTCCGTCAGTCTCCGCCGATTGTACACTACGCGTGAAAAGCGGTCCAACGAGGAGCCGGCTGGGTTTCGCTCTAGTCGTGGATACATCGATCAAACCACCCACCGACAGCTGCAAGAGCACTGTCATACCTACCAAAGACCAAAAATCACTGTTCTTAGAAATCCGCGAGGCCTTCGACTCTGTCGATAGGACCACACTATGGAACTGTTTGTTGAGGAGTGGAGTACCTGAGAAGTATGTGCCGATTCTCAAAGAGTTGCATCATCAGGCCTCAGGTCCGGTTAGGGCCTATGGCCAGCTTTCGCCACCCTTCGCCATCTTCAATGGAGTTCTAAAAGACTGCCCTATATCCCGATTCATCTTCAACTTTGTCACAGGATGTTCTACTCAATGCATTTTCCGGTCTAGCAAACGATGGAGTTGCACCCCTCCCAAGCAACAGAGTCCTTGACTTATAAAATGCCGATGAAATCCCCTTGTTGGGTGGCAACATACAAGCAGTCACACACACATTGAACCGCTTGGCGATCGAGGTACCCAGATATGGTATGTGCTTTGTACCTTCCAAGTGCGAAGTGCTTGTTCAAGACTGGCAGGAGCTTTTGCCTGCACTCACCCTCTGTGGTGATCAGCTAGAGGAAGTTGAGAGCTTTAAGCACCTCGGGAGCTTAATTGCAGCTGGTGGCGGCGTTGAGAAGTAGATCACATCACAAACACCGAAAGCTAGAGTAGATTTCGCCAACCTGCGATACCTGTGGTGCTGCCATAACATTCGATTGTCACTCAAGGGAAAGATGTACTTCACTGCCTTTGCGAGATCCGGCCCCACCGCGTTGAGGATGTTAACCAATTTTTGGTATTCGGCCACCGATGTCTCCGAAGCAGTGCTCGTGTGTAGTGGTTCACATCGGGTGAGCAATGACGAGGTTCGTCGCCGTGTGTTTGGTGTGGATAGTCACTCTTTAACAAAAGTAATTGCTCTACATCGCCTCCGATGGCTTGGTCACGTATCGCGTATGCCTGCCCATCGACTACCTTTACTCACTCTCTTTGCAAGTGCCGGATAAGGCTTGAAGGCTTGAAGAAGCGCCGCGGCGGTCAGATTATAACATGGCGCAGAGGTATGAAGAAGCTAGCTTCAGTTTTGGCTTCGTTTGGTGCAGCCTGCCTTCTAGGGTGGAGTCAAAGGAATAAGTATTATCGTTGGTTAGAGAGGCTGGGAGATATGGCCCAGGATAGAATTCAATGGCGCGAATGCTGTACGCTTTGCCTGCTTAAATCCTGTGCCCCGTAAAAACAACGAACAACACGCAAAAAAATATTTAAAATGTACGGTGGTTCGAACAAAAAATTGTTTTTCTCGTTATCCAACTTAACTATCTGATCCCCTTTTACACTGCTTTGTATCCAAGACCCCACCCCACCCCTAATTTCCGTTATTCTTCTCATTGCGTTGGCACCAAACTTGCTCACAAGTCGGTGATAAACTAATAAGACCATTTCATATGCCTCAATGTGATGTACATTAGCAGTGCGTGGTTCACCAAAGAGTCCAGAACACCGAAGATCGCTCTCTCGTCTTCTCCCGGCACTGAACACATTAGCCCTCATGAAAAAAACAATGAGAAGGTTTCATCATACATTGTGAACTATGAACTTATTTTATTAGTGGGTATTCCGAGAGGAGCTCAGAAAGGTAAACTTGTGAATCAGCATACCTCGCCTCAGTCGTACTGAGGTGTTTAAAAACAAGGCATGTTCCAAGCATGCAACATTATATGACTTCTGTCTAAACTATCGCAAGAAATAAACCGCCAACCATTATTGTCTCAGACTACACTCAATCCTTGGTTAATGGTAAGCAGAACTGTGATAGCCTAACTCAGTTTATAATAGTAGAAAAAATGTGACCGAAAATTTATTTGATTTATTGCATTGCACGTTTGGGATGTGCTTCAGAGTAAACATGAAACTCCATTCTCGGTTGAGCATAAATACAATTCACGTTTAGTTTCGCATTCCAATTTTTCCCGTCATTCATTTCCACAGCTGGATTTTGAACCGCATTTGGTAGAGAACAAACGATCGTGGACTGAATTGATGGAACAATTTCGTGAGCATGTTGCGGGAATCGAGGCGGAAGCTCGAAATTTCATCAATGAAGCATTCCAGACACTTCGATCCGCCGAAAGCGCACTAGATGTGTGGCTCAAGTTCCGTAACATTCAAACCCGAGATTCAATACACGAGCTTCTGAATGAGAAATTCGGTGATATCCTAAAACAGTATGAGAAGGAGGTGTGGGTGATCAGTAATTTGTTTGATGACGGGGCTCGAATCGTGCCGACCGTTGCAAAGCCACCACGAGCTCGATACTCCGCTCCCGTGTCCGGTGCGATCAAATGGGAACGACATTTGTTATCTTGTATCAAGCGGCCAATGATTCGATTGGTACAATTGCCCGAGACCACCCAGTGTGAGAAAGGCAAAAGTGTTCGCAATCTGTACATAGAGGTTGGAAAACGAATGAAAGCGTACGAGGATCAGTTGTATGCGAACTGGAAGTCATATACCACTAATCTGGTCGAACAGAGCCTCAATCAGTTCATACTGAAACCGCACACAGTTGTCGAAGTGGAGCCGAAACCAGTCTCCGGCACCCCAGTGACAAGTCGAAGCAGTGTAGACCAGTCAGTGGTCAGTCACAAATCCGTTATCGCCCCACGTATTGATCCTGAAATTTGTAAGTTACATGCGAGTCATCACAACTGTGATTGGTGAATAATGTTGTACTGTTTATATGACTGGAACACTTAAAATGCTCATCCGAAATACGGAAATAGATCAAATCTTTTTCAAAGCATTATCAGTCAAAATGTCGCATGTTTTTTGATGACTTCATGCAAATCTTTTGTATCCATTATTCAATAATTCCGTTTATACAATCCCACCAGAAGGATACGAACTGTAGAAATTCGCTTGTTTCTAAACTCGACAAATAAACAAGAAAAACCACAAGGTGTTGGTGACAACATTTCGTCCCTCTTTTAAGATCTTTCTCAGGCCGTTTGGGCATTTTTATTAATTTACTTATTTAATTTTGTATACGGGCTCATCACCCAGAATGGCTTGTTAACCGACAAGTTAGAAATGAAGCGACCGCAATTACTGCGCGTAAAAACGAGACAAATCGCTCGACTGATCTGACTGAGTCAATCCGAATTCACTGTACTATCACTGGGTTACGATCAAAGGATGTCAGAAGATTCTGATGGGATTGTGATCAGACTGAAAAGCTGACCTTTGTGAGCTCAACAACAACGACAGTTTGTGAGGGCTCTCAAAGTTCTATGGCCAACTGTAGCCAACCTGATTATGTACCTTTACTACGAGGCGATTAATGGCAAAGCTCAGAACATGGATAGCTTTACTGCTATTCACTATAATGCGATCTCGAATTTCCAACCTCCCTACCCTCTCGCTGTCGAATCTCATTTGTAATTGGACATTATTAATTTTGCGGTATTTGGCTGTTGAAAAACTTATCTTATTTACCAGTTAAAATGCAGAAAACATAGCAACTAGGGAATTTTGATGTGTTGCAGCGCATTCGTATAATTGCATTTGTGTGTGTGTATATTTGTCTCTTTGTATCTAAGTACATCCGAGCGATCATCGTTCGACACGCGGTTGGAGTGAATGAAATTGCTGAGGGTCAAATCTTGTGAGCTGAAAGCTTGAAAGCGGGGACGAAGTTATAGCGTGTGTGTACATATGCGTCATTTGTTATCACAACTGTAGAATGCATATTGAGAGTGCCGTTGAGTTGATGATGCTCAGAAGTGCTTCAGCTATAGGCGGTTCATTTTTGCCCCCTGAGCCCACGTTTTAGCAAATCCGGGTTATGGAAGTCATTCACATGTTCCTCGAACTTTGCATGAACGGTGAGCGCAATACTGTGTTCTATTTGCTCCAAAACAATCTACTCAGTTGTAACCCACTTCGTCAGTCGCAAGGGTTCTTTCGTTTCTTCAACTGGACATTATCCGGATATTTGGCGGATATACTCGGCAGGACATTCCGAAAAGCATATTCCATAAAGCACATTCGAAATGTTCCTATCTATGTATGAATCATTGAACCGAACTAGTTTTTTCTGGAATCCTTTAGGTGTTTTTGAAAACACCTCAAATACGGACCCGAGTTAAATCTGTCATTTGTTTTCGGACGTGTTTCGACAATACGGAATCACAACGACTGAGGGACAGTCATTCTTTGTTAGATATTGGCGCTTGATTGTCACAGCGAAGTTTATTTGATGTTCGTTGTTTTAGGTAAGCCATTCTATCTTCAGACCTTAATCCTTTCTATTCGTTAAAAAGGCTAATGCCCACCAGCAAATCGATTTCAATTGAATGATCACAAAGGTAGTTGAAACCTCGTCTTGTGTGAGTATTTTTCCCGCATGACTTCACTTCAAATACATACCCAACGATTGGTTGTGTATGCTCTCGCACATATCACAATCTTTTTATTGCCTTCTGATTGCTTGCATCTTGATATCAACCGTTTAAGCCAACTCAGAAAAGCTTCTTAAGGGATTAGAAAACTAGTGATTGATACCTCGTATTTTCCTTTCCTTTTTATTGGGACTAAAACGAGCTAATTTCGTTAGACAGTATCATGAACACTCCATCCAATTTCCTCAATGAGATTCATTTCATTTCATGTGTTGAAGAGTGTGAACATATTTTGTTTTCATCTTACTGATTTAGAAAACACAACCATTATAAACCAGTACGAGTAGACAGATTCAGTAAGTCTCATTCGTTCTATGGCTTTTTCGGTTTCTCTTCCGTCGTTCTACTGTATTGTCAGACTTACCGCACACTGTGCATGTTCTCATTCCATTGTATTCTAGTGGAATGTGATTTCTCGGTCAATTTTCCTCACGAACTCACCATTGCGGCACATGAATCCAAAGAACTGGAAGTACTCGGTTACAAACTGCCCGAGAATGTGGCCAATGTTGTCCTGAAAGTGAGTGCAGAACGTACTTGGACAATGCGAATCACGAGCTCAAAGAGGACAAGCGGAAAGAGATTCAGATTGTTTTAATGAAGCGCAATAATAGATAGCAAAAGTAGTACTTGCTCATCAGTTTTTAGAAAGTTCAGTGAAATGTTCACTCTGATTGAATACTGACATTACAATGTCGTGTTCAATTGGAAGTGAGTTAGATGAGTGTGATCTAGAAAGATCGAAAAGGGAATGGTTCATCTCCTGCATAAAATAATCCCCGAATATTTTTTTGAAATTATCCTGTTGTGTTCAAAATTGAGTATTTAAAGGAGCACACAACGAATTAAGCAGTAATTTCTATAGTGAACAGCAAATATGTAGCTGGTTCACAAACCGGGGAACAAGCAGGAACGAACAATGTGTAGGAAGACAGGCAGGCCGACACTGGATCTCACGTCGCACTACATGCTAATGCCTTCAAGCATTCAGTCAGTCAATCGATCAACCGATCGATCGATCAATCAATTTGCCCAGAGGCATGTATGAGCACAAATCAGTCAGTTGTAAGCCAAAACATCCAAACTTGATAAAAGAGAATTCGATGAAATATAATCTCAGCAGCTTTTATCAGTTCACTTGTGTCTGCTTCCGATAGTTTTGTGTCGAGCTTCGGAAAAATTACTTGCGTACAGTAAAAGACCTGTCGGAATTTGGAAACTAAAAGTTGTAGTTCCGTTTTAAGTCCCATCTCAATGAACACAATAAAAGATGAGTGGGTTCGAATCCTGTCGAGGTTACTGAACTTTCATAATTCAAACATAGACATAAGTCTGCCAAACAGCATAATTGTATAAAGATATTTTTTACCAGTTTCAACAATCATTTGACCTATATCCCTATGTACTGTTTAGTTTCTGTTCTTGTTTACCCGTTTGATCACTCAAAGAAGAAGGTGAGTGCGACTAAAAGAAACGCTGAGAGTGCAGCTAGCATACAGACAAAAAAGTGTGAGAAAACCAAATGCTTCAAAAAAGCGATTGGATACCACTGTTCATGAATTATCTGACTAACAACTTGTCTAATCCTAAGATCCCGAGTCGAATAGCCTAGCGTGAGCTGCATATCAAAGCCCCCAGGTCAAGGCTTTCACCCTTCCCTAATCTGATCACCATCGTCCTTCTCTCAGCTACTAACTACCTCGAGAACTATTACAAGCTGGAGAAATCTATGAGGTCGTATACGTTGCATATGCCGTCACATATAGTCCTTGGAGGAGGGCCAGAGCAACTATGTTAATTTGTTGGGGTACCATTACATAAGAGTCTGTGTCTAAACTCGGTAATGCTCGTGCAGCTTGTGCACTGCAGCATAGATAAAGGTGATCGAACACCAGTGATCACGACGCATGCCAGGATCAAAAGTACCGATCTTCATTCACCAATGAAATAAAGCAATTCAGGATTTTATCGCGAAAATTTCATCAAAATTCCTATCAAAACTGCGGCTTTCGTGTAAAATAAGTTGATCTTAATGGACTTGATTGAAGGTCAACATTTATCTATTTACTGAACCGAATATTTCACAAACCTTACGCGAATCCAGTGTCTGTTTGTCTGCCTGGTCGTTGATCCGATAACTCATTTTCATCTATGCCGCATCCGATCACGGTCAACTTATTTTCTACCATCCGTGTTCTTTACGTCTTTTTATTGACCACAAAGGTGGAACGGTGTAGTGGACCGGTCTCAAAATAATGTCCGTGTGTTCCATGGCTTCATCGGAATTTAATTGAAAAACGTGCCAACGAATATCGACTACTGAATTGTTTTTCAGTACACAGATGAACTCCAAAAATTCCTTATAGGTGATGGAGACTACCTAGTGATCCCGATTTGCGAACCAGTCCACTTCAAAAGACACTCCTTCAAGTGTATTGCTCATCTGAATTGCATTGATTGTATACAAATTGCATCAGGTCTTTCTAAATCACATAATAAATTCGGCTTGTGGTGTGCAAACTAGCGCACGTAATACAACTTTGTCAGTTAACTCATACACCTTTGTATGATAATTTTCTCTAGTTTTCTGATATTTCTTGATGAGTAACTAACTAACAGAAAATTTATGGATCGGCGTCAGTTTTCCAGTCATTCTCAAGTAGTCTCGTCTAATGCTGAGGTGAATGTGTGAGGCAATTCACATTGTTTCCAATCGATGAACTGATACGAATTTATAAGCAGCATAACAATTTCGAATTAATTCAACAATCAGACCTCGCATGGGTTGGCTCATTCCCAACATTAAAAATGGATTGAAAATTCAAAAGTGGTAAAAGTGTCATGTTTGTCCGGATATCATACAATGAATACTTGTTAATACTAAAATGTGAGCTCGCAATCTACCGACTCATCAGTGGCAACACATTGTAATACATCATCCCTGTTTGATCGGATTAGTTATTCGGTTTTGTAAAGGTTTCACTTGTTTGTCTCTCCATCAGATCAATGGATAGCGTAGATGCGCCAAATCTGACGTCGATCCCACAAACACGACTGTAAAATCTCAATACACCTACGAGTAGAATAATAACAAAAGTTCTTGTCATACTCTAGGAGGAATTGGCAGACTCTATGGAAAATTATGATATTATCCTCAAGTCTAAACGACACAAAATCACAGGAACCTTAACAATAAACCGGTTTATTAACTCACCATAATTGTGTACAGATGTGTTCTACTGCATAGTACACAAACTAATTGGCTCCGGCAGCTTAGAGAGATAAACATTTTCATTTTTGTTTCCATTACTGTGTTCTGTATTTGATGCTTAGTCGCATCAGTGGTCTTTCTTACCCTGGTGAAATACGCACAACAAATCTGAGATCGTTTTGCAGTCCTTTCCAGCTTTTCGCTTCACTATCCTTTTGTGCCGTATACGGTTTGACTCAGTTCTAACGCACTTTGTGTAGGCTCGATGTTTGAGAAAAGTTCTGCGGGGAATATTTCAGTGTTGGTTTAGCATATACTAAGCGAAACAAAACGGATGATCATCCTCACAACCCGAGCTAGAGATCACTTTTGTTTATGAAGACAAGTGCACAACTCCTTAATCCATTGGCAAGCACAGATGAAAGCTTAGTAGGACTGAAAACGTCGCATCAATTGACGTCGAACCTAGGGCAGATGAGCTCTCGAGATGAATTTCAGAAAATGTAGACGTATCAAATACCAGGCTAAAGGTCGGCTATCAAACTGTGAAACGATGAACGGTTCATCGCCCGACTAACTGCTTCGTGTGTTGCAACAGGCACAACACTGAAGAGTAAATGTCTCTTTTGCATACTTTGTTTCTCAACTCCCCCCGCCCTAACCCTCGCGAACGCTGAGGCACGCAAACGCGTTCACAGGAATACGCGCCGAACTTATTCTTCCAGTTAGTATCGATCGGATGAAAATCCTGTAACATATATGCATTAATCTGACTTTGGCGTCATCAGAACTCAGAGGTGACAAATGCAAATGTGTTCTTTCAGTCACATCGATCGGAGCATATTTTGATTTGTCCCGATTGCCATAATTGGTCTCGATGTGTACAATCGACAAAAATCCCTAAAACATTTTGTCCGTTCTTTATGCAAAATCAACGTTACAACCGCCACTGAAAAATCTTGGAACCATTTTGCAGTCTGCTGTCAGTGCAACCGCATTCAATGTACCTTTTGAAATTCCCAATATCATCTCAAGATGCGACGGAAGTACTTGATACTCTAAATGAGACCCAATCAGGTTGAAACAGCTGTCCAGTGCTTCCTAGCTTTTCAGTTCACGCCTCATTCGCTCTATACACGCCGAATTCACCTTTACCCTAAATCATCTCAAGATATCCGAATACCATTTCAAGATGTCCGAGTATCGCTTCAAGATATTTGAGCATCATTTCACAGTCTTATGACTTCATCTAGAGTATGCAGACGACATTGTGCTACTAAGTGAAGATCCAGGTAAGTTGCAAGCTTTTCTGGATAGTTTGAGTGCTAGTGTTGCCATGTTCGGTATGCGTTTTGCACCTTCAAAGTGTAAAATGCTACTACAAGATTGGGTTGATCCAGCACCCAGCCTCACTTTAACTGGGGAAGTAGTAGAGGAAGTAGACAAATTTTGCTATCTAGGCAGTTATATCTCACCTGGTGGATGCATCACAGATGAAGTGTCGGCGCGCATACAAAATGCTCGATTGGCATTTTCCAACTTAAGACATTTGTGGCGCCGTCGCGACATCCGACTGTCTGTGAAGGGTCGAGTGTATTCTGCAGCAGTTCGGCCAATCCTGCCTTACGGTGCAGAGATTTGGCCACTAAGGGAACAGGATAAAAATAGATTGTCGGTGTTCGAACACCGCTGTCTACGTCGCATTGCACGTGTCTGGTGGGGGTAACCGGACTAGCATTGCTGAGGTTAGGCGTAGAGTTTTAGGCAGTCGCGGTCGTCCACTGGAACAAGTGATCGACCTCCATAGATTACGCTGGTTGGGACATGTGCTACGCATGTCACCAGATAGGTTGCCACGGCGAGCGATGTTCGCCGAGGCAGGTGGTGGATGGAAAAAACGAAGGGCGGTCAAGCTAAGACCTGGCATGAGGGTATGAAAACCCTAACCAGGAGACTAGGTCACATAGGCCCCGTTAGGCTCCCTGGCTGGGGACCTCGGGATGATGGTCATCGATGGTTAGAGACACTGAGTGATATGGCTGGGTGTCGCAAACAGTGGCGCTCGTGCATCCACTCGTTATTTTCCTAACCCCACTCTATATGTATTCCCCATCTCCTGCTTGAATTTGCTTCGACATCCCAATCTTCACTTCGCTCTTTTATCCAAATGGGCAACCGAAACCGGCGCACGAAAGTGCATGGTTAATGGTTTTAAAAACTAGAAAACTGAAACTCATCGGCACTACTAGTCCCATGTACTGTTCAAGCCTCCCAGCGATGTTTGGATGACCACCATGCAGCACATATTTCTCGACCTCTCGTCTGAGCGCGGAGGATACGCTTGTGAGACGTGCCTCGGTCACACACGCTTCAATTCCCATGGCATACCATATTGGTTGTTTATCTTGCTAGTATGTGGACGCGTCTCTGTGCATGTGTGTTTGTGTGTTCGTCCCTCTCCGCTGATACCAGTGAATCATGCGCGATCAACGCTTGAGCCATTGCTTACCTCCATCGGATTATGCTGCAATAGAATTCATAAGATACACCTCAAGCGGCTTCACTGGGGCACCAATCGATCATGCTAGATCGATATACACATCGCTGTTGACCAGATTCACATCCATTTTGGCCGTATTTTCGGAACGGAATAAGATATGTCTATCAAATCAACTCCGATAGAAATAACGTAATGAGGGCTGTCGAAAGATGCCATAATATTCATAAGAGTTACGTAATTTTATAAGAAAATACATTTTCAAAAATTGGAATGTTTTCGAAATGCACTTTTCTGAGTATGGGCTCTGAATTTGATAATCTTTATTGCCAAAATCATATAGTCTCACTTAAACACTTCCACCACACAAAGTAAACCGGGTGAATTATGGTTAACGAATGACATTCACAAGTAGTCAGTGAATTTACCAATCTGGTGCGCTAACCTATCCGGTTATCCGTACTGACTCGAACAAGCTGCTACATTAAAAATGACTCTCGTTTATCACCATCATAGAAAATACCTGACAGTAATCCACTCCCTGATGCACGACTTATCTGTTGTGTCCTGGTAATATTGAGGGCGTTAAACAATGATTCGTTCGTGTCCGGGTTTGAATCCTTGTATACTAGGTGTATATGTACTGCTTATAATTCCTAATTAATATGGAATGTCCGTCAGTGCTTCTTAGTACCTTCGGTAATAAACGACGCATTCACTTCGCATGAGGAATGCTCCTTCACAGACAAGCAAGGGTTCTGGAACCGTTTCATGTTATAAAAATTAACCGTACTCTCAGTGAACATCATGCATCTGTGTGTAGACATCTGAGTACAGAACACAGTCATTATGAAACTGTGAAATTAGGATCAAATCTAAACGAAACATACAATTCCATTTGTGGCTATGTTTACTGATTTCAAGCAGTTAAGGACAGTGTCACATTCATTTCATTCATTCATTTCATTTTTACTTCCTTTTATTGAGTAAGCAAAAGTACAATTTTCAGGAAGGGGAAAGCGTCCAATCAAAGGGATGTCATACAACACAGGATGAAACAAAGTTAGGCGATGGTGATGGGAGTCGAACACACATCCTCCGAGTTGAAAATTGATAACGTTACCACTCGGCCACTATCGCCGCATCATGAATAGTTTGCACTCTTTCCATTCGTATTCTGAAATGAATTTGAACTAATAAACATTATTCGCACGTAGATCGATACCTATTTGGAGCAAGTGGAACATTTGACCAGAATCACTCGAACTTATCACCAACTGGTCTCTTCAATCACCTCAGTCGAAGCACTGGTTCTCGAAACACACTTGCGACAAGTGCGTCAAACATTGCAGCCCGGTTGGGAAATTTTGAATTGGAAAAGTCTCAGCGTGGCAGACTATATCAGTGAGGCGGACGAAAGTTTGAACCAGTTTCATTCGGTCTATGCTGCGCTGGAAAAGACCAAAAATGACATTGAGGGACGACTGAAAGAGATTGCCGAAGCCGATCTGTTCCCCGAACCACCGCCACGTGCACCCCAGTATCAACCTGTCACAGGAGCATTGTACACGTGCAAAGTAAGCTGTCTCAAACAGGACTATATATTATATTGTAAATAGCCCTATACATGATCACCGTTTGGTTGTACAATTTTATTTGACAAATTGATTCCAGGGGAACATATCGTCGGATAGAATTCGTGAGATGTAGTATCCTAAATGGTTTGTAAAGAGAAGTCTGTTTAGTAAATCGAAATTGCGAACCAGATTGATTTTAAAGGATAGTTGTCCAAAAATTGATTTGATATGTTGTGCATCAATGAATGATTATTTTTATTTTTATTATAGATCCCAGTAATTAATGAAGTCTAGATGAAATTATCAGAGAGATTAAGGTCCTGAGTGACTTTCACTGATCATTGACGAAAAGCAGTGATAAGATGAGGTCGATTCTGTTCGCTAACTGTGATATTTATGCATTTAATCGAGCGGCTTACAATAGGTGAGGACCTAACACTGCACCCAATTTACCGAAATTCTCATGAGGTGCTTTATTTCTTACGAAGGCTTGTCCAGAATACTTTGGTCCGGGTATTATATTCTTTCTTTCAGACAATGGGCAATTTGATTTAGGGAAGGCTGTGTTTTATTTTGGTGATCTTTAGATCGAGAAATCATGCGCTGAGCTTTATTCCATAAGAAGTCAGTCTGAAAAAGTATTTTGTAGGACTTCAGCCATAGCATAGTTGAAGAGAAACGGTGATGTTGAATAGCCGTATCAGACCCCACCGAAAACCAAGAACAACTGTTGTTGATGGATAGTAGAGGACCAGACACAGAAAAGAATGTAAGAAAGGATCAGCTCGATAGTTCTGTTGTTTAAAAGGACTGCATTGTTTATCGGGAAGAAGATGGAAAGGAACAGGATGTTCCACAGATTTTTATCTCTCAAAGACAAGGAACAATTAGAAGCCAGAAGTTCAACATCCGGAGTCAGGTTCTTGAATTGGACTGCTGGGCACTCCTGTATGAAATTGATATGAGAGAAATGCAGAAGTAGAGAAGAAAAATCAAGCTATCAGTTTAGAAGTTCTAAGTGGCAGCAGAAGCAAAGAAGCATACACTTAATGATAGATTAGTGTTTGCAAGGGTTCAGACGAAACGAAACTGAACCATCTTGGTCGTCTTACACTGCTAATAGCCCAGTATAGCTTCATATATTCTGACTTGCAAGAAAGCTGGGTTTTCTTTTTTTTCGTCAGCAGTTCAGATAGAGATAGCCTATCGTAAAACGTAACACTTAAGATATTTGATTGTTCATCCTTTTATGTGTATGGATCGTATTTAAAAAGGGCTGTTCAAAATGACGGCGCATGAACCATCACTTTATTGTTTTTTGCACACCTTCAATCTAGGAGTATTTCGCACTCACATCGGCCGAACGTCAAAAACAGTTTGAAGATTTGGCAATGAAGCATACATCAATTAGTCCGTTATTAATCAAACTGGAAGGGGTCGTGATGAAGTCCAGCACCGGTGAGCATCCGGACATGGTCGCTTACTACGCATATTGGGAGCAGCGTATATTCGACCTGCTCTATCAGGTTAGTGAGTGATCATTTGCTAATGACTCAGCATGCCTTCCTAAACAATACAATTACTAATGAATAATAAATGGATCGATCGTTTTTTATTTCATCATTTGTCAGCCTATTGTCCAGGTGACCTCGTACGTAGGATCATCAAATCGCATCATAAAGCATGACGCTTGTCATAAATAATTGTTTGTGTTATGATCCGTCTTTAACGAGTGGCTTTCTATAGATATCAATATAACAATACGGAGAGAACAAAGCCGGATCGCAATGAGTAAACTATTCAGCTAAGGTGAATAGTTCCAAATAAATGCTCGGATATTTATTTTACGGGTTTCCTGAACCAATGTTCACCTTGAAACGGTCTATCCCGTAGCAGAAACAATAAGAAAGTTTATAATTGAACCGATCAGTCATGCAGAAATCTGAACATGAATTGACACGGCAACTTACGTTAGGTGGGCAAGAACCGATGAGCACAGGAGAATGGCTTTGTGTATTCGGACAGTCATGAGGTGCTCTCGGGGACATACATGCAACATATACGCAACATGTACAGTACTTGTAAGCCGATTCTCAACCATTGAAATGTCTGTTGATTTTTCCCAAAATGGGAAACTTACAGCAGTTTTAATATTAATTTTTGTTTAGAAATGAAGCGGAAATCAGGATAAATTTTCTTTTGCAGCTAAACCAATGTCTCCACATTGGTTTTGATAGAACGGGAAGATGTTTAACTGAACGGTAGTTTGCGGAATCACTTCGGCAACCAACTTTTTAAATGGGTGAAATGATACTGTTCTTCCAGGACCAAAGAATCACCGCCTTGTCGAACAAACTTTGGTATAAATAAGTAATTATTTCATATATGTAGTTTTCCAGTGATGTCAGTGTTGGAGGATGGGTGTTGTCTTCCCCCGGGGGTGAATTCTTTGGCAGCGCCAATAGTTCGGCATGTGCCGTTTCAGATTTGTTGAAAGTATTCAGTTGGGGAATATGACACTCAGTAGAAGGTATGGTGACTGCAATTCGACTTCTTTACCTGCAGTGAACACTTCATAGAACTGGATTTTTAAGAATTCAGTTGCTTCAGACGAAGAAGTGGAAACGCATACTGCATGCCTTAGTGCCGGTATTCTGTATTTCACTTTCCTGGTGTTGTCTATATGCTTGTAAAGGAGCTTTGGATTGGAAATAAATTTATTTGCTATTGTTTCTTGAAACCGTTCATCCCCTCGCAATAATTTGAACAAATGGTTCACAGCATGCTATAATTATCCCGAGTGTCGGCAGTTGAAAATTTATGAACACTAGTCAGGAGAAATTACTTTGTGACATCCATTCATTTGTTCGAATGCGAATAGGTGATAATCGTGCATTTTCAGTTCAGTTTTACAACCATCTGTATGATGTATCTGTAGGCTTCGTTTATGTAGCGATATTAATGAGTTCGGTTAAATTATCAATGATTCTTCCCCAGAACACCAATGGATCGAGCTGTTCTTCCCGACGAGTCCATTTCTTGAAAGCAGTAAGATTCTGCGATTTTCGGTAGTCAATATGGGTAATCATATTAGTTTTCAGGCATTCTTCTATAGAGTCGTATTAAATGTAACCGAAAACCAGGACTGCTTAGTCACTGCGTCCTAATGGAGTCGTTATTTTGACAGATTTTACCATAAACTCATTACTTCTTAATAGCAAGTCCAACGTTGATAGTAGGTGGCCTGTTTCAAATCTGGTAAGTTTCTTTATATGATTATACATAGGATGTGAGTCGATAAAATTTGTTAGATTTTGTCCTAATCGGTGGTTATACTTGTGGCATTTTATGAAGTTGAGGCAGTTAAAATCTCCCATTATGGGAACATGAATCAACTTTAGTTTGAGAGTGTATCTCGTAGTCTGCAACAGTGTCTCGTTAACTGAGTCTGAGGTGCAGGAGAGCGATAGACTTCATCGATCAAATAACTGCTATCTTTGGGCAGTCTCATTGTGCACCAAAGTGTGTCGGGGGTTGAATCGAAGAGATCAATTGGTTCACATTGAAGATTGCTTCGAAAGTATAGCAGCGCAGTGCCACCTCATGTAGAGCGATCACCTCTCAATATCATCCCGTGACCCGTAAAAACGACAAACAACACAAACATTTTCAAAAAGTGCATGAAACGCAAAAACAAATTTTGTTACCCCAGTTATCCACCATTTTCCCGTGTTTAACTGTTTCACCCTCTATCCACATTGTTCTGTATCCCAAGCCACCTGCCCCCTGATATTGTTAGTTATAATTGTTGTGGCGTTGGCACCATGCTTGCCTACAAGGCAGAGTGATATATATATATATATATCAGGGACATTCCAGGTAGGTGCAATTCACAGTGGAAAATATTGTAAGTCAACCAAGTATCAGTAATGGCAACCAAATCCCACTCACCCATTTGCAGCGGGAAATTTGCTAAAGAAGCCTTGTTCGTTCGTGTAAAAATAGGTTAGGAAGTGTTGGTTTAGGAAGCCGCTTGGGGTCGGATCGTTAATTATCCCACTCACTCTTAGGTCGGCTAGTAGCGGTTCTTTGAGAATCGGTTCTGTTGTTGTGGTCTTGCAAAGAAGTAAGAGGAAGAGAAGAAAAGGAAGTGGAGTTAGGGTTTAGAGGGGCAGCATGTTATCACCGTCTTTTTACTGTAGACACCATTTCATCTCACTATTCAACAGTTGTCTGAGGCGTAAATCTGGTAGTCCTCTTCTATTTTTATAACATGCCTACAAGACCGGTGTGATTCTTTGAATGAGTATGGTTGATTCTGCGTTCAGTGATATTCCTATGGATGTCAGTAAAAGATTGACAAGTTTGAGTTGACTCTCCCCTACCATCCTAGTACAGTCTGCTAAAATAATGATGGAAATCACATTGGTTGAAATTTGCATTGTGCGATTACGCATCTTCCGAGTTTCATAGATGAACAATTTATTGATTAGAAAACGTGCAGTTTAAATGGAGATTGCTCGATTGAAGGGGAAAGGATTACGGAATACTTTGAACGATTAACTCAGGGAACATCATACAAAATAATAAGATTGAAATTTAGAGAAGTTTGTTGCTGGTTCTCATTCACATAAAGGTATTCTTTTGGCCCTTGTTTTGATCTGGTTAGAGAACGCGCTGAGTAATAAATCATTACGGCAGCCTGACAAAGCCATTTCACTTCATCCGAACCGACTGTCAAGTTGTTCAGTTCCGTTTTTAGCGCAGTTGCTTTCAATTTCCACAATTAATAACCCTGCGTTGTCGTAGTTACAATTTTTCAATTGCGTGCTAGCTTCAATTAAAAATAATGTCCACTGTAGTTACATCCTAGGAGGAAGAGGTACCACAAAATGCTGATGTTTCCGGTCATCTAAAATATACAATTCATCGGAATAGTAAGTATTCACCTCCTCTTTACCCTTCAAAGACACTGCGCCTTCACCACTGACCACTGTCTATCAGTCTGACAGCAACTACCTTGCGTTCCCAAAAACAGTAAGATGGCCCCGAACCGACCACATGATCAGTGGCAATGGCTCTGTTTGCTCATAGAAAGCGGGGTTTGTTGATTCCCGTATGGCTCGTTCTCATTATCGTTCATAAGCCCGCTTCCAATTAAGTGCTCTTCAACTACAAGGCAAAAGACAAACACAAGTCAAGAACCAAAATCGAAATTGAACCGGTAATTAGCCACCGGAATTTTCCAAGATCGAGAGGGAGAAATAGAATGACAACAGTGGCCCTTGGTTAATTGAAAACTCTCAAACGGATAAAAGAAAATGTACAAGGACACATCATTGGTTGCACAAAATAGTAAACAATCGCTACTCGCGTTTGTGTCATAGGATTTTTGTTACAACCGTATGGCTTTTGATTATTTCAAAATGCTTGATTCCTATTGGTTGTACTGAAATTGTATCACCTACCTGTTGGTGTTTATAGGTTCTCCTACCTGGAAGTGCTGGTTGCAGACGCTTCATACCCAGGCATAGCAACGTCATCAGTGTGTCTGAGGAAAAGTCTCCCACTGATAGGTACACGCCCGAATGGAGCAAACAGAGAGTAGATTCTTTTGTCTGGGTTCAATACAGCTTACAAAACTGAACTTCTGATTTGTGACTTTTGAAACAAGATCATTTCAGTTTATTGAAACTAATTGATATAACATACTGAGCTTTCATGCTCTTCATTCCATGTTTCCGTTATCCTCCATACAATCAGTTGCATTTTATGATTGAAGTCACCAATTCAGTGCGTTTTTCTGCATTGGTCAATTTTTTTCCAGTCACAAATCTTTGTGATTTTTCAATTGAAGACGAGAGAAATATTTTGATTTCAATTTTGCTGTAGCGAAATCCAGTGTAGCAGCTATTTGTTAACAAAATTGCTATGATTAGTCAATGATAGAATGAACTATTTTCGTGTTTGTTATGTGCTAATTCATCTTTCTGGTTACAGATGATCGTACGAAATCTGCAGTTATATTTGGCCCGAGTACAACATCCCGGCAAACCGTTATTTGCCGTGGATCTAATGCTGGCCGGAACAGATGTGGTAGGGAACCCGCAACCAGCTGAGCTCTACAGACTGGTCATTCAGGTGAGTTTTTCCTTTAGACCAAAGGGAGAGTGGGAAGTTTTTTCTTGACTTATGTGGTGCAACACTATTACTCTCACAAACTAACATAATTTCACCGGGGGAGGGATGAAATGCATCTTGTAAGAACCCGGTACTACCGAGTAATACTGTATTATCTATGGTCAAAATTTGATCAGCAAACATTCTTCATACGACTTTCTAAACCTGGTGGGCGATACCATATCAGCTGAAATGAAACTGCGGCCTTTTGGGTTCTCTTTAAATAAACTTTGAACCTTTCCAACCACCACGTACAACAAAAAATACAATAAATGAGTCACCTATCATGCGGAAGCAGTTAAACTTGCTTTTACGAGCTCTGTCTTCTCTCGACTTAGGAGGAGAGAACAAATGTGATCTAAACAGGTCTTTTCTCTAGGCGGTCGAGAATTTTAGGTGAATATCATTATTCGGTTACAAGACAATGTGATGCTCATTTCTTAGCCCCTACGAACTAGTAATAAAATGAGAGAAAAACACAGTAGCAGAGAAGCTTATTTTCCATTGATTTATCCACTGGCTAACTAAAGCATCGCGATTGTTATGCTGTTTTTTATGCACATTTATATCATCAATGATGAAATTTATCTTCGAAAAACGGAGGTAGGAATGGGGTCTGTTTTTGGTTCACTTTTTGCAGTTGTCTTTATTTTTGAGCTAGCAAATAATAACCCCAAACGGACAATCGATCGTTTCACATTCGACAAACGATATATTGATAGTATTTTGTGTTCTATTGAGGATACGGTGAATCAACTCAGACTTTTGAAAGTATATCACACAATACTCACAAATATAATGATCACCCTGGAGAAGAAGTTTAAAATGAGCAGACAGCCTCCTTGAACGTCTTTCTAAGTCGTCGATCAGACAGAATTCTCCAGCAGGTCATCCACAGGAAGCGATCGTGTATTAATTGGAACGAAAAACCAAACGTGATCCAGAGCCTAGCTACCAGGGTGCGGGCTGTATGCGTTGAAGATGCCATTCAGGAGGCAGTGAGGTTTGATTGAAAACTTTACTTTCAAAAGGGCTATCCAGAACGATTCTTGGAAAATATATTCTGAAACTTTATCTGATATCAAACAAAGCTACAGCGGTCGAAAAAACGATATACGCACTGTCACATTTCAGGTTAAGAAATTTATCGGGCTGTTAACGTGCATTGGCAGCAATAACATAACTGAATGAGATCACGAGTACCACCGGGCTTGATTGAATAACGAAGTGATCAATTCATTAAATAGTTCGACGCATTCACCCCAGTGGGGTCAAATCACATGGTTAATGTGGCCGATACACTCCACTCCTTTTCCCATATTGAAGTGACCTAAGAGGATGAAAAGTAGCATCTTAGCCACGATCGTCAACCGCCTACACACCTCCCTTTTCGTACCCCCAAAATAAATTCACAAGATAAACAAGTTTCTCATAACCATCATCATACTGGCTACAGTCACCCTAACCAATAATAATATGTGATGACCAAAACGCGCGCAACTCGGTCCTGAAACTGAAACGTAACCTCTTACTGGTTTATAATGAATCACTATTCAAACAAAAGCATTATATAGATTGTGATGTACTATAGTCCGCGAATGAATAACCCAAAAAGAGCTTTGCTGCTGTATATTTTTACAATGTGTGATAAAGGTGGTTTCAAACAGAGGTGAGAACATAAACCAAATATTGCATCAGAATGAGTTATTCCGTTTCAGTTTGAGAATCAAGCCAACGAGTGACGAACAATTCATGTAGAATAGAACATTCAGAGCAGAAAACTTTTTCGCCTGAATCGGATTGCCGTTGTACCACGTGAAAAGTGGTTTTAGTCAAAAAGTATTGGGTTGTGACAAGTTTATAATTTCCCAATTGTCTGACTACTCATAAGTAGATGATAAATAATGATTCATTCGTTGTTGCCTCAACGCTTTCATCTCAAGCTCACCATTAAGCCCAACGTCATGCATGTGCAAAATAGTTTTGTTTCCAAAATGGATTCTTTCTGAGATACGAAAATATACCTTAGCAACAGGTTGTCAAGTTGCTCACTTGGACACTAAGAATCTGAACAGAGAAGTCAGAAACATGGGTTTGCACAATGTATCCGTGGTCATTTCGCTGCATCTGTACACATGCATACTGCAGTCCAAGTGATTTTTATAGTCAGTGAGATAACAGATTTGAGAGAAAAAACACAAGATCGCTAATCACAACGGACAACGCAACGCAAAAACACAAAAAATACACAAAACGGGGGAATGAGATAGGGCAGGCGGTCAATCACCAAGGCAAAGCTGATGTGACTAACCATTCGCGTTGTTTTCATAGATCAGGTTTGAGAGTGTGAATGGCTAGGGCCTCGGCAAATTTTAGTAATTTTGTGTTTGCTGTGTTGTAGATGACATGGAATGCGTGGGGTGTAGATGTTGCGTTATCGAAGGTCTAAGCTTTCTCCGATCAATCGATGACGTAACATTTGCAAAATTGTCGTCCATTGCTTTCTTAAGCCACACCGGGATGTGTTCGGCCATTCGGTGACTTAACTGCCTATCTGTCCTGCCTATGTAGACGGCTGAGCATCCAC